ACTGACGGGTGCCAAATGGAGGCTTTAGCTCAAATGGCCTTTGGACATGTGGGGTAAAACCAGAATAGACGACAAAGAAGTCAGGCGTGAGAATATTCCTATGGCTGATATTTTTTCTCATCTAACGTATATACACCAGCAGTTGTATTTAAATGCAGGTGCCGATTGTTATTAACCCAAACCCTTTCGTGTCTCTCCCTCTAATTAGTAACTAACCGTCAAGCCATTCTGACATGTTCATTCGTTCTTTTTTTCAGAAACTACTTGTTGTTTTCAGCAATCCCTTTAATCATTGATTTACGGCGTATAGAGTTTTCATTCAAATAAAAAGTTTCCCATTTCAATTGATAAGTTTGTACTATCATTAATCAACCAGTACATGATGATTAAATTCAATTTACACTTTTTCATCTTTTCACAGGTCATAACTCTTATACATTAAAGAATCTCCCCTCAGGCAGAGGTTGAAATAATTATTTATATGCGCACGAAAGAATGCATCTCCGGTTTTATAATTTTACCTTTGAATAATATTATACTAAAGATGCAAGTGTAACTGAAAATCAGGAAATCGATATAACAAAACAAAAACTGTGTAATATTTGAAAGGTATAGAATATATGATGTAAAGATAAACTCTTTAATGTTATTGGACACTTCAATTTCATAACTAACAACACCAAAAAGACCTTGGATAGAGTACCACATCCGTCGTGTATGGAATCAATATTGCCAAAATAACTTCCGTCGATCACCACTGTCAAATATGGTCCATTTCAATCCTAATAGACAATTATTTATGGATAAAACAGTTCTTTTACAGCCCGTCAGTTAGAAATTTTGCGGAATTTCCATTTTATCCCCCTTTCAGAAACGAATCGAATTACTGCACTTCCTCCATCCCTACCATCGAGCCAGTATGACTATCACTAATATATATTGAAACACTGGTTGACCGCCCTACCTACAACCCCAACCATAATGCCTATATGAATATTACTTGCATAATTATATAGAAACATTTGTAGACTTGCAATACCATTGGTCATTCAACGTCCAATATTCCAGAAGCACATTTTGAACGATTAGTTGAACTCATTGAACACAGGGCCAAGTGAGATATTCTCATCGCTTGACTCCGTCGTCCGTTAAATTTTACAAAAATCTTCTCCTCTGAAACTACTGGGGCAATTGAAACCAAACGGTGCCACAATCAATCTTCGGGTATCTTTTTTTTTTAAAATAGCGTCCGTCCTATCTAATAGAGAGAGAGAAACTGTGGTCAGCAAAATTGATCAACAAGGCAATATCTATACACATAAGTCAACTTGACCGAAATCGCCAGTCAACTATTGCCCTTTACTGAAGATTATTAACATTTTGTTTGCTTTTTTGTCTTTCATCTTGAAAACTGTTATAAATTGATATAAATTTTAAATAGCAAAATGATAAGCAAGACAGACATCATCTACAAATAAGTCGTTATTGCTGAAATCGTTTGTGGAGTTTTAGGAATTATGGCCCTTAAATTACGATTTTTATCTTTTTCACTGCATTTTTGCCTTTTCGTTTGAAAATTATAATAGATGGATAGAAATCTAAATAGCGCAAATTTTTAGTAAGACAAGCTGTACAAGTAAGTCAACATGGGCCAAATCTTCAGTCAAATATGCATATGAGTTATTGCCCTTAAATGATTAGTTTGTGTTTTGCCTATTATTTTGAAAACTATAATAGACAAATAGAAACTTTGAAAAGCAAAATTGATCAGCAGAAGAAGAATTACAAATATGTCAACATGGCTGAAATTGTCAGATTAGAACTCTTTATAGAGGTATTGACCTTTAATGATGATGTTTACCAAAAAGCGGCCATTGTTGAAGATGCAGCCGGTGAGCGACACATGCTCTTTCCAACCTCTAGTTTTTTAAACTACAATTACTACTTCTTCTGTAAAAATAAATTAGACGGTTTAAGAGGTTCTGTTGGTCCTTTTCGGTTCAAAGTCTCGAAAACATCCTATGTATTTCGTTCCAGAAAGTTTTCGTTTCGAGCGTACCTGACGCGATTTAAGCTAGAAACACATGTCGTGCTCTGTGAAATTAGTGAACCAAAATGTAAGGTCGGTACCGCTAGTAGATTGACAGTGTCAGAAAGAACTTCCCGGTCTGAATTTAAAAAAAAAACTCTAGATGAAATGATGATTTTACAAAAATATTCAGTATGCAATATTATTCAGTATATGCAATATACAATAGTATTACAGGAAATGAATTATCTTTCTGTATTTTCATAGAAATGTAAAAGTGTTTATCATATTCACAACACCCTCTCCAAATAAGTTGTTTAAATAATTCCCAGCATGAAATGTTAAAATGACATACTTTTTAAAGGTACGTGGACAAAGCTGGAATGAATTGATAGGAAACGCAAGTTCTCATCATACAAATAAGAACAATCATAAAATAATGTCTATGAACATTTTTTCCTATACATGTGTTCCATGGGGTAACAATCATGAACCAACAATATATCACTGGAAATATAAACATTGAAATCACAGAAGATTATTATCTTACTTATCACTAATATTAATCTAATCAAAATTGAAATATAAAACTAGCTTTCTGAATTCAGTTGATATGAAGATCAAAGATAGTGCAAGCTAAAATGCCGCTAACAGCTACAGTTCGAAAAAAATTAATGACACGCATGCGTGCAAATTTGTCGTTTGATCAACAGGAAATTTAATTTCTTTGCTGGCTCCATTTATTGAATATTATTGATGAAAAACAATACTATACACGACGATAATACTCGATTGACTTGTTCGCTAATTTAAAAAATCACAGGAAAATAAATGTTAAGCGGCAGGGAAATCTTATCAATCCAAGGTAATTGATCATTAAGACATAACATTTGAAACATCAAAGAAATGTTGATACTATTATTTTATTTAGTTTTCATTAGGCGTTTTTATGTTCTTGAAACGTTTTGATTTTCACCGATACACGACAATGTTTACCTTTATCAAAATCATCATTAACTTTCAACTTTTAACTTGACTGTTGGATCAAAGTACATATATTTGTGGTCCTCAAAGTCAAAGATTAATTGATCATTGATGTGAATTTTACACACGGATCACAAGTTTTTCATTAATCTTTGAAAGGGACTTTAGTTCTCACGGCAAATGTATCCTTAGTTAATGAAAATATAAAGAAATTCACATTTGGTTTGTAGTCTTCAAAAGTAAATATATTTTTTTGAAGTTAGCTATAATCAATAAGGATAATTTTTCATGTTAAATTATGTTTTCAAAGTTTAATGGTGTGGTAATTACATTAATTGATAAAACGGTTTGGTTTTATAATCTTTTCTGAAAAAAAATACATTATTCTTGATTTTCATTTTGAAATTAAAAGAACTTCTCTTTCATATAAGTTAGCAATAAACTTCCGTACAGTAAGGTTAACAAAAATTTAAAGGCGAAATATAATCATGGATTCATTAGAACCACCTTTCTTCGTTTTGGTTCATGTTCACTGCTTGATTAGTAATTCAAAATGCCAGATTAAGAAAACAATTTGACGGTATGACACAATATTATGGCATACTTTATTATGCTGTATAAGTATTCTGGTAAAATTTGAGAGAATTAAAAGCTTTAGTAACCGGCGAAAGCATCATGACATGGTTACATTAGTTCACCCCTTATTTCTTTAAGAGGTTCGTTTCGCAATCAGTTCAGGGTTTGCTGTAATTTATCTTGCTATTTTCACCATTACCTGTGTTTTTTTTCTCCTGATAACGATCTGGTCTCTTCCATGTATCCATTTGAAATCGTCGCATTCAGTCCAGTTTGACGGTAAGATAAAACTTACCGGTGTTTTATAAATTGGGCGATATCTTAAAGTTAAACAAGAGACATTACCGAGTCGCTTGGGCGAATATCTTAAAGTTAAACAAGAGACATTACCGAGTCGCTTGGGCGATGTCTTGTGGTTAGACAAGAGGCATTACCGAGTCGCTTGGGCGATGTCTTGAGGTTAGACAAGAGACATTACTGAGTCGCTTGGGCGATGTCTTGTGGTTAGACAAGAGACATTACCGAATAGCTTGAGCGATGTCTTGTGGTTAGACAAGAGTCATTACCGAGACGCTTGGGCGATGTCTTGTGGTTAGACAAGATACATTACCGAGTCACTTGGGCGATGTCTTGTGGTGAGACAAGATACATTACCGAGTCGCTTGGGCGATATCTTGTGGTTAGACAAGAGACATTGCAAATTCGCCTGGGCAACACAACCAAGTCGCTTTAGTATGTCTTGAGGTTAGACGAGGTACATTACCAAGTCGCAAGTTACTCAAGAATAAGCAACACGCAAATATATAAGTTTTTATTTATTTTGTGTGTGTGTGGGGGGTGGGGGGGGGGGGGGGGGGGGGGTGGGGGGGGGAGTGATACTTGGAAAGCACCGTATTTATCAAATTCAATCGAGTATAGTTTGTACTGATTTACATCTCCTCTATATATCAATACTTTGCAAATTGGATTTTATGTCGTAATGTTAAACCGAGTTGTTTTAATAGATTTTGTTTTTTATTTTGTAGTACCCGGTGAACTTGCTCACCATGTCCACCCGGCTGCTATGAAGCTTGCACTGAGGTACCACATACAGACTATGTGTAGATCACCTCATTGTGTCAATTCATTGGTTCTATACCTAAACAGTCCTGCTAAAAGTGATGGAACTATGTATCTATGGGACATAAATTCTGATGGTCTGGTGAGTTCAATAATTTAAAAAAAGCTTTAACAGGAGGGATTGTGCCTGATATTCATATGATGAAGACATAATCTTTTAATCAGTTTAGTTGAGGTCTGGAGCTGGCATGTCAGTAACTGCTAGTAGTCTGTTGTTATTTATGTATTATTGTCATTTTGTTTATTTTCTTTTGTTTCCTATTCTGACATCGGACTCGGACTTCTCTTATGCTGAGTTTTACTGTACGTACTGTTAATTCATTGGTTCTATACCTAAACAGTCCTGCTAAAAGTGATGGAACTATGTATCTATGGGACATAAATTCTGATGGTCTGGTGAGTTCAATAATTTAAAAAAAGCTTTAACAGGAGGGATTGTGCCTGATATTCATATGATGAAGACATAATCTTTTAATCAGTTTAGTTGAAGTCTGGAGCTGGCATGTCAGTAACTGCTAGTAGTCTGTTGTTATTTATGTATTATTGTCATTTTGTTTATTTTCTTTTGTTTCCTATTCTGACATCGGACTCGGACTTCTCTTATGCTGAGTTTTACTGTACGTACTGTTGTGCGTTTGTTTTTTCTACATTGGCTAGAGGTATAGGGGGAGGGTTGAGATCTCAAAAAACATGTTTAACCCCGCCGCATTTTTGCGCCTGTCCCAAGTCAGGAGCCTCTGGCCTTTGTTAGTCTTGTATCATTTTTAATTTTAGTTTCCTGTGTATAATTTGGAGTTTAGTATGACGTCCATTATCACTGAACTAGTATACATATTTGTTTAGGGGCCAGCTGAAGGACGCCTTCGGGTGCGGGAGTTTCTCGCTGCATTGAAGACCCATTGGTGGCCTTCGGCTGTTGTCTGCTCTGTGGTCGGGTTGTTGTCTCTTTGACACATTCCCCATTTCCATTCTCAATTTTATTGATTAAGTAATATTGTCGTTTAAGACAAAATACATATCGTAGCACAGTCAGATCACCCGACACGCGTATCTGAAATAACCTTCATCGAGTACGCTAGATTAAAAAGCAAATTTGGGTAAACAAATAAATGAAAAATTTGGAGAGCCAAAAAATCAATGATCAGTTTTGACTATCGGAAATGCAGCTTTACTTTCAATTAACAAAAGTTAATCATTGAATACTTTGTCTTATGATTCCACCACACATTTCCATATTTCTCGTTGGTAACCATACCACGTCTTATTTTTATATTAGTTGTATCTGTCGTAATCCTTAATTTCAAGTTCAATGAGATAAATGCCACTAAAATAGTCGTATGCTTATTAGGCCACCATCATCTTAATAATCTTTCAAACAATCTCAAGGTTCAAGATATGGTCTACATCGGCACATCAAACAATTAGCCATATTACCATTACTGCTCACTAGATTTCCCTTCGTCATGGTAAAATATGCCAAATCATAGTAGATAATTGATATAAATATAGTGTCCATAAACAGTTATCATATCCAGTTGATCTTTTTTCTTTAAAGAAATATCAAACTTATTTAAATCTCTATACTCTCTTCATTTTATATTTAGAATTGTTTTTGTTATTCATTTTAACTAACTATAAATGCGTCATCTAGCAATTTTGAGGCGACAAATTGATTTGCATAGTAATTAAAGTTGATTTGTAAAATAATTACTGTAATCCAGTAGTCTTATTAGAAGCATTATTGACAGAACTGTGTAAAGTGTTTATTATGTATCTTACACTGCCTTTATGGGTGGTCGGTCATTACTTGTTTGGAGAATTATGTCTGACAAAGATAACTTAATTTCTCATTCAAATACATCTGATAAGAAATATCCATGTATATTTGCCTTGTATTGTAACTTTAAATCAATAGAGCAACCCAAAATTATATCAAATGAATTAGACACAAATTAAAGATCAATAAATGTATTAAAAATTGTTGATTTTAGTACAAGTGCTGAGATAAACAGCATGTGTATTGTTAACAACTCACAATAAATAAATAAGGAGATGAGGTATGATTGCTAATGAGACAACTATCCACCAAAGTTCAAATGAAGTGGATGTAATAAATTATAGGCAACCATACGGCCTTCAACAACGAGAAAAACCCATACCGTATAGTCGGCTATATATATAAAAGGCCCCGACATAAAAGATATGAAACAATTCAATACAGAAAACTAACGGCCAAATTTATAATAAAACCATTAATAAATTTACGAAAAACAAATATTACCGACACGAACCAACGACATCCACTGAACTACAGGCTCCTGACTTGGGACAGACACATAAAGAATGTGGCGGGGTTAAACATGTCCCCCCCCACCCCCACCCTGGGGTGAAACAGCACAACATAAGAACAAACTATAAAAATCAGTTGAAAAAGGCTTAACTCATCAGATCGATACAAAGCAGAACAGAACAATCAAACATAAACACAGACCGGACGTGGCAGGGTATTTATACATCCCTCATCCCCAACAACAAAAAGGACACGAAGTACAGATCTGAGAGTACTCACATTTAATGACAGCTAGTTCAAACTGAAAGCCAATAACAACTAATAAAAAAAATCATGTATCTAAGACTAAAATATCAATCAGTGCATATCCAACATCCAAGGGATTTAGTGTAAAGACGTCATTAACAGTCAGAGAAAAACATGACCTTGTGCAATGCCAAAATAAAGGTATCGACAGATTGTAGTACCGTTAAAGTGCATACGTGTATAACAAAACTATTTAGTATGATTTCATAGTAATTTACTGATAACAAAATCAATATTTATACAAATAAAAACAATATTCAAAGATATAATTACAGTGTTGAATTGGTAACCTTTTACAATAAGTTTATTTAAAGGATTGATAAGTTTACCCGGATTGTGTATAACTTTCCGGGTTCGGTAAACAATATCACCGTAAAATTTAGAATGTATTGTAACTTTAAATCCATAGAGCAACCCAAAAAGATATCGCTTATCTTGTATGTTTCTAAAGTGAATTATGAACCTAGTTGTCCATAAAAATCTTCTAAATTCTTGACGGCTATTTCTAAGAAAATATATAACCCTTTCCTTAGCCGCGTCTGACTCGCATTGTAAGTTCTATCCTTTATTTCAATGTTTTGCCTATTGTCTTAAACTATAATAGCTAAGTAGAAACGATAGACAGCAAAAAAAAAACAAAAAACAAAACAATCAGAAATACAAGATCTACAAAATCATCAAATGACCACACAATTGGGTGACTCTTCAAGAGTTATAGCCTTATGAAACAATTTAATGTGAAATCAGTCGAGGTGGGAAAAAAAAGGCGTCGATCAAACACTGTTACATGTTTTATGTTCGTTAGAAATATAAATAACATGATGCTATTCAAACCTTTGGACGAAAGTTTTGGCACTAAGAAATCTAACTTTACTTTACGCTGAATAATCACAAACCTTGTTTGTCGACGGATTTTGACGAAATTATTTGGTACAAATAAGTAAAATCGGTGACAGTGACGTTAGTTGTATATATCTGGTCATATATGTCAATTACAATCAACACAGACTGTGACTTCGAGTTCATTTTAATCCAGTGTTCTTAGCGATTGTGAATTTACTGTGACTTCAAATTCAACAATCAAATGCTACATTTATAGGGGCGGGATCAAGTTATCGTTATTTATACATCAGACCATACTGCATGGTTACCGGTTCTTTTGATACACCAAACCAGGTACTTTATATCTGAGAAACAGGAAAGATATTCCATCAATTTTAGAATTCTTTCATACATTTTTGTATTATTCAATATGATCAGTCAAAATGTACTCTTTAAGGATCATTTCACTTCCTTTCATTTGATACCTTTATTACCAAATATATTCTGCATTGTTTAATATTTTAAGGATGTACTTGGGTGAGGTTTAGAAATTATTGTCAGATGTTCGGAATCCTTTTTTATCCTACGATACAGGGTAAAATAATTTGCCCCATAACACCCATTTTTTCTTTTCAAATAAGACTTCAGTAGCTCATAAAAGATCATTTACCAAAATTTAAGCAGATTCTAGATTTCTTTTCTTTCGATTTGAGACCCAAATAAAACCAATGCACAATAAGGTAAAAGTCCGAGTCAGAGTTTTCCCGCCATTTTTTAAAACTTAAATATCTCGAAAAGGAGCTCCATTACCTATCAAAATGTTTTGCTTATTTTGTTCCATAACTAATGTTCTTCTGAATTATAGTATCAATTTTAAATTCTAGATTTTTTTAATTTCACCTAAGTACATCATTAACACTTGTGCGTAGGAACTATTTTGTTTAAGTTATGTACTACATTCCCGATTTGGTGGTGTTACATCTTAAAAAAGTCTATCCGAATTATTTTGAAAAGAATTCCGTTCATTTTGTTTATGGGCCGTCTTAAACTTGCAGTGAGGTGAAAGTTTTTTTTTTGCTCCGTGTCGAAGGCCTCACTGTGACTTTGAGATGAAGAACAGCAATACAAGCGCTGTTCCTATGCTTTTGTGTGTATTTGCTGAGCATGTACTGATTTTGTGTCATGGATGGATACCCCCGATATCCTTTTTTTTCTGTTTTATTATGCAAAGCAATTTTAATTCCTTTAAAAATCGTTTTATCTTCATAGCAGAGGACTTTGAGGTGTAATTTGAGGTTGCTGACTCATTTGACATTTATAAGTTTAACGAATAATCTGTATTTTGTGCCTTTTAGCATTTAAAAGTCACAGTATACAGAGAACGCGAAGGAACATTTCAGAATCAGTTCATTACTAAACTTAAAAGAACATATAAAGTCAAAATCTTACAAAAATGTAACATATTGAAAAATAATTGTCTTATTTCTGCCTTGATGAAGACAGTTTCCGTTAAATAGGTCAGAATAAGTGATTTCTATTGATGTCATTTTATTTTACAGGCAGTAGATGCTGAGAAATATTACTTAAAAGAATTCAAAGAAGATATAAGTAACTGCCAGGCAGAATATGTCCATGTGATAGTCGATCAAAGCTTCTCGGGAAATATAGCTGACGCATTCAAAAACTCGAATGACCATCGGAATGTTGTGGTATTTGCTAGTGGAAAAGATAATGAGTATGCATTTGATGATGAGTTTACACGTCACTGGGCAATAGCTAATCATACAACGGAGTGTACTTGGCAGGTACAAAAGGTCAGTATATAAAAAAAGTGAAAAAATACGCGTCAATAATGTGATGTAGAAAATTTTCTACCTATTTTTGGTTATACAAATTAAGAATGAAAGAAATTCTACACAAAAATTTGAAAAATATCGTGTACATTAATCATTAAAAAACAAGTGTCTTGCGATGAAATGAATCGAGACAATCTCAATTGTAACCTTATCCTGGTTATTTATTAAAAAAATTGCTTTCGCGCTTTCTAATTGTTGTAATTATAAACCAATAATATAAACTTACATTTTAACTACTTGTAGTGTTCATTCCAGGCATATTTCTTTGTTGCATTTACTAATAACCTGAGTTTTATACTTTTCATTAAACGTCAAAATTGCCTTAAAAAGAAACAAGGACTTTCTTTTTAAAGATAAAAATATAATAAGTTTGGAAGTTTTGGAACAGTACATCCGATGAAAGGAAATTTACAATTGGATGTACATTGTACTGACTTATATATATATTAAGCAGATTAAAATTAATTGCGATTTTTTAATTCTTTTGTTTTGTTTTCAGCAAATCAAAAATTTAGCCAGCAAATCAAACCCAGAAAGCCATGAAGGACAAAGGGGAGAAGTTAGAACGACAATTTTTGGAGCACCTTGTCACGTTATTCCGCCATTTTCTAATCGTGAACTTCGTCATGATTACTTGGGTTGTCAGTCTCTCCCAACAGCATTGTGGATAAAAAAATTGTTTTCAGATAAGAATCCGTGGCGGTATTAATGACGTAATACTATCGTACACAGCAATGATATGATAGGGTTATATTTTTTTCTGATATCAAAACAGATGATCTGCTTCAATAGATTATGACACAAACACACACGAAGAAAATTCGACGTTACAACCACTGGGATTTTGTCGTCGAAAATTTACGTAGTCCTTATTAACGTTTTAGTATAAGTATCATGCAATGTTTGGATGTTGAATAATTTGTTTATAGTCCACAGTAAAAACAAAAGCATCTTTTAAATATACTTAAACGTACATTTAATGTTTTACACGTATTTGTTTCCATTTCTATTATTTAAAAAGCTCATTTGTGAACAATATTGATTTGAAATTTTTGTGTCATTTGCTTGTTTGTCAATTTAAAAAAACACAGTGCAGAGACGATTTAAATCGATAAAACTGAAATCGGTTACATAAAATAAAAGGTAGTGTTGAGGAATTTTTCGTGCTGGAAAACATCAAACAACCAACTAAAGTCTAGAAGACTTTTATCAATTGATAAAAACTTAAAATTTTTAATGCGGTTTGTAATCATTCCAGTTCAAGAGACACAAAACATGTAACGGGTATACGGAATAACTTTTGTTGCAAAAGAGAGTCATGCGCTAGTGGCATTTGTTTAACAGTAGAATGCATAGCGTTTCATTGCAAAGACAACTGTGTGTATAAAGATACATACAATAGATGACTGGCATAGTTACAATCGAGATGCGAGATTAAAACATTGCAGCGAGATAAGTAAAGTTAACAGACAGAATGCAGGCATACTGCAGAGGGCATGCGTAGTTACAATGGAAAATGTTAGTATTGGTTTTATTTAAACTAACAAAGGAGAAGCATGCACCTACAATGGTTACGCATATAGTAACAACAGCAGGTGACATAGATAGGACGGAGATTAACAGCGTATTGTAACGGGTACATAGTTGTGATGAATAAACGGGTTGTGATTTATGTAATTCTTGTACATATAGAACTATTTATATGGTATTGTTTATAGATATTGTTGTACATCATTGAATTGTCCATTTTTACATTGTCATCAAAATCATGTATTGTTGTACTATTGTTATCTATGAAAATAAATACTCTGTCGATATTTGATCTTCTACATTAACCAAGCATCATCAACATGTGTGTTACTCAGTCTCTCACTGTATCCGGGATGGCCATATTTTCGACAAGAAGTAAATATTGATCATCTTAATAGTAACATAAATCTTTCTGCGGTTATTTTGAAATGGGATTTTTTTAACATGCGAAATTTGTTTTATGGAAAGTAAAGGTGTCTGCACATGGGCAGCTTATTTCCCTGTACGGTGACATATTATTGCTTACATCTACGTCATTTGTTCTTTGGTGGGTAGCTGCCTCGTTGACAACCATACCACATTGTCTTAATTTATATTTCACCAAACAAATATTATGTATCTTTTTTTAAAAAGGAAATGTTTCAGCAACAATTTTTAAGCAGGATGTATGATAAGAATCATTATATGTCTTTGTTTATACTTTAGAATAGTTCATGCATATTTTATATAAAAAAAATCTTCGAGTACCTTCTTCTTCTTCTTCTTCCAATAATTTGCATAACACCTCTGGTGTATTATCGCAAATGACTATTTACACATTGCCCACAGGAAACATCTTTCCAACATACTATGTACACAAATCCGGTTAAAAGCCATCGTGGTGTTATATACAATTAAAACTGAGATATCTAACATGAAGCAGGTGTCTGGAGGCTGTCTTTGAATCCTTCCAAAGTGGAAGCTGTGACGACAGCAGATGGTAGTTCATTCCACAGACGAATTGCAGATGGAAAAAATGATTGCTGGTGGTTTTGTATTCTCGAGAAGGGTAGTAGGAATCTGGTGTCATGTCCTCTTGTTGTTAATGCTACACCCCTCGGTATTAAGTATTGCTCTGGTGGTATTGCAACAAGATGGTGTATTATGCGGTAGAGCATGATGGTCTTTACTCTCTTTCTACGTTCTTGTAATTCGATTCATTGCAGGGTTTTAAGCTTCCGGGTTACACTACTGGTGGTTCTGTAGTCACCGGTTACAAAACGTGCTGCTCTTCTCTGCACCATTTCTAACTCTCTGATGTTTTTCTGCGTTATTGGGTCCCAAATGATACAAGCATACTCCCTAATTGGTCTTACTAGTGTGGTATAACATTGGGCCTTGATCTTATTAGGACAGGAGCTGATATTTCTTCTCAAGAAAGAATTAATGTTGTTCGCTTTCTTGGTGACTGTACCTATATGGTAGTTCCACGATAAGGTGTGGCTGATATTAAGGCCTAGGTATTTAGCATTCTTCACTACTTCTAATGTCTTTCCATGTATTGTGTAGTTTATGGTAATTGGTTTTCTTTTATTGGTTACCCGTAGTACCTCGCATTTGTCAGGGTTGAATTGCATGAGCCATGTGTCCTCCCATTTCTGTAGATTGTCTAGGTCTTTCTGGAGTAAGATGGTATCCTCCTCTTTACATATCTTTCGGTAAAGTAAACAATCATCTGCAAATAATCTAGCTTTAGATGTTACTAGTTCTGGCAGGTCACTTATGTAGATAAGAAAGAGAAGAGGCCCCATTACAGTTCCTTGGGGAACTCCAGATGTTACGTCTGATGTTTCTGACTTCTTTCCATCTAAAACAACCTGCTGTGTTCGGCCCTGAAGGAAACTAGCTATCCATTGAAGTGTGTTCCCTCGTATACCATAGTAGCTGCATTTGTTCAACAGGCGTTGGTGTGGCACTTTATCAAATGCTTTTGAAAAGTCTAGCAGTACACAATCCATTTGGTCCCCGCTGTTGAGTCCATCTGCTAGATCTTGTATAGTAATAGCAAGCTGGCTCTCACATGATCTGTTTTTACGGAAACCGTGTTGATTTTCAGACAGGATGTTATTTTCCTCAAGATGACTGATGATGTTACTATGAATAATATGTTCCATGATCTTGCTACAAATCGACGTCAGGGATACAGGACGATAGTTTGATGCTTTTCCTCTGTCTCCTTTTTTAAATAATGGTGTTATTAAAGCCTCTTTTACAGCCACTAGTACACCTCCATACTATACGTATCGATGAGACACACAGAATAATATTCGAATTTCAATGGGTTTTCAACAGATAATGTGTAAACACATCAAAATCAAAGAAAAATATAGATGTGCATATGTGCTGTTTATTTCACGAATGAAATACGAGTGATACATGTATATGTGTAACAAGTAATTGTAAAACAAGGATTGCGGCAGAAAAGTACTAAGGTAAATTGGTCTTTTCTATTAGCTCACAAAAAAACAACTGACAAACTGACACCGATACCATAACAACAAAAAGCATAAGACAATATATATAAGAGTTATTATATATAATAGACAAGACGCATATATAAGAACAGAAATTTCGCCACGATATAGCCTTTTCAGTGCTTAGGCACCGTAAAGCAAACATTTAATATTTAGCTTTGTGCTATATAAATCCCCTTATAAACACCTGAATCAATTGCTGTAGAAGAGTTACTTGTTATCAAACATGTTTAACCCTGTCACATTCTTAATATGTGTGTCCCAAGCCAGTCTCGTGTAGTCCAGTGGTTGTAATGGTTGCCGTTTGTCATAATTAGGACCCTGCATCGAGGATGCGGCAACCCTATATATAGTTTTCACTTTGTCCGTCACCATGAAATTTTGCACAGTTGCTGTATATAATATAAAGTTGTGCATATTACTTTGTAAAAATTGTCAAAACTTAGTTTTTTGTTAAAACATCACAAATTTTAAGAAATATAAAAATTTAAAAATGAGGAGATATGGTATATTATCTTACCTCCTACACATTTCTAGGAATATGATTGGTTAAAAGCGTCTGCGTGGAGACCGTGTATATTCCATATTAGGTTAGTAGGGAGGCGGGGCTTATTTCATACACGGTTAGTAGTGGTGTTACGTCCCTTTATAAAAGCAAAACGGTACTGAGAAAAAAATCTTAAAGGTTTCAACAGACCAAGAAATTGATGATGAAGATTGAAATAAATTCATAAAACACATTTAAACCTAACAAGTTGTTATTGTTGGCATCTGTTTTTGTATGATCAATGGAAGTAGTTTCTTAATGCTAACGGTATTACAGACTTGCTCATTTTGATAGGTCACTAGTCTAAATTTCACACGTTAAGATAGTCGGTAAGATAAATTCGTTACATAGTGTGCTAGTGACGTAATACGGTATATATGGGGTCAGTAAATTCCATATGGGGATTCGAGCTTCGCTCTCACCCCATATGGAATTTACTGACCCCATACATATATATCGTATTAGGTCACTAGCACACTATGTAACTAATAATTACCAATGAGACAACTATCCACCAAAGTTTAAATGAAGTGGATGTAAGCAATTATAGGCAACCGTATGGCCTTAAACCATGAGAAAACCCCATTTGTATAGTTGGTATAAAAGGGCCCCACAGGAAAAATATGGAACAATACAATTGAGAAAAGTAACAGCCTAGTTTATAACAAATCAATTTACGAAAAACAAATTTAACAGACATGAACCAACCACAACCACTGAATTACAGGACATTCCTGATTTGGGACAGACACTTATATAAATGCTAAAACTCCTAAAGTATGAATAGGACGCGGATAAATTTTGCACACTTGCATGATAATATACAGTTATGCATTCTATTTTTGTGTGAAAATTCACAAATTTTGAGAAACAGTTTTCGTTAAACAAAACACTCCAAAGGTATGGGTAGGTCGATGGTATTTTGCACAGTCGTTGTAAATATTTGTAGATGTGTATATTTTTTTGGTGAAAATTTCATCGATTTGATGATTTAAACATTTTTCAACTGATCCTTATAGTTTGTTCTTATGTTGCCCTCATGTCAAATGCTAAAACAAACAAAAAATAAAGCCAATGATGAATAAATACTTCAATACTTGATGAGCTTTTGGACAAAAAAAAAAGAGTAGTCAAATCTAAATCTGAGGTGTTGGAACCTTAGTAATCTTAATAATTTGTATGTTTATCGAAAAGTAATTTACACATGATGCATCACGGATTACTGAGCTGACAGTACCCTCGGACTGGCATCCCACCAGCAGCCTCTGACACAGAAACAGAATTTCGCAATATTACCTTGCCATGTTCTGTCTTTTAGCTTTTATTGATTTATAATACATAAAAAAAGGAAAATAAGCATAACCAACAAAAATAAATATTACAAACGACCAAGATCCAACTCCTCTGAATAAAAAATAATCGGACAAACAGAAACGAACATTTAATGGTCCTGATAGCCTACACGCACAAAGTGTGGAATGGTTGAACCAGTTTTGTGTGAGCACACACCACCCCTTTGTATTTTAACTGTTGTTTGGATTTTCCATATAACTTTGAATGTGCTAGGAAACTAACAAATATATAGCAGCCCTCGTATCGTTGGACTAAATCAAATGCATCTCTCTCTTGTTGCCACTGGTGTCAAAGACTGCTCCTGTAAAGTACTTCTCTAGAACTAGAGGAATAGTTTTGGGTAAATATAGACACTGATATATAAGGGCTTAGGATAGACTCAATCGATACGGAGGTACAAGAGTTCTTTGTTACTTGAAATTTTCTTTACGTTATTAGTATTAGCAAAATGAAAATAGGAAATAAATAAAAACAGCTAACAACCAGGGAAGATTATACACCAAACCAATACGTCAAACAGTGAAGAATAAGATTAATACTAACAACACAAACAAAATTAAAGTATATTGTTCTAATAAGATGAATTTCATTCTCACCAATCTATTAACAAAAAAGGATTTTAACATAAGATATGCAACACTTTCATTTACTAGTATTTTAAATTGATGTTTTCCTAGTTGTGCATTTTATAAGCTATGTGTAAATTGAAAATACTTGCATTGCTTTTAATGTGATGCCATGCAGTTTACTTACCGGTATTGTGGTATACAGGTGGAATCACAACCCCTAGGTCAAATAAAGACAGGCAACCATATGAGTAAAAGATAAAATAAATACAACCAACAGACACAAACCTTAACACACACTCCACCAC